AAGCAGGGAGACTGGGCCTTGGTGAGTCAGTGGTGAGCTTCCAACCAGCACTTCCTGCTGAAAAAGCCACCTGGCTTTTTCCTTACTGTGTTTGTTGGCAGCCTGCGGTCTTGTGCTTGGAGGACAGAGCAGGGTTGACCACTGGTGTCTGCATCCTTCTGAACTATCACTGTTGTTGGGGAGTGCTTACCAGTCCCTCTTTTTCTCCTGGACTGCTTTCAAGAAACTTTTTGGTCTGGACATTTCTGTGATTCTTTAACAACACAGATGAGGATAGATAGTTTGTAAAAACTGATTCTGTTCCAAACATAACGGGATTCTTATATCACGTGGATCTGTGAGAATTTTAGGAAGCCTCTCTGGTACTGCTTTTCCTCATTCTGTCCCTCTGGAGCTCTAATAGGGTTGTTTGACTCTCCAGCATCTGCGTATCTTCTTTTGTATTTTCTGTGCCCCGTCCCTGTTTTTATGAGTACTGTAATTGATTATTTACTTATTTCTTATTGCTTTTTATCAGGGCCATCTTAGCCCAGGCGGGCCTCCAAATCACAACAATCCTCCTGCCTCAGCTTTCCAAGTGCTGAAATTATAGGCACTAGCCACCGTAGTCGGCTTCATATGTTTTCTTTCTAGTTCATCAAAATCCTCTCCAGCAATTCAAATCGTGCTAATCCTATATCCATGTCCAAATTGCTAAAATAACAGGGTATTGACAGATACTGTTTTGAAAATGTAATTTAGCAGATCGTATTATATCTGCTATGAAGTGATACACTAATAGAAGAAATTCCCGTATAAGGATTTTCAAACAAGTATTAAACTATCCCATTCATTCCTCAGATGACTCTGCAGTCCCATGCAAGCCTGGTTAGGAGGACCTTCTGGCCTTGCTGAAGGCTCTTTTTTCTTTTGCAAGTCACAAATGGAAGAGGTGCTACCAGGTGCACAGGGGTCAGGGAGGAGGTGGTGCAAAGCCTTCCACTGGAGACATGCTGAGTAACCCCTCTGGGAGCTCCTGCTGGTGTCAGGAGCTGAGGTGGCTCCCCATGGAGAAGGGAGTCTTCATCTTTCAGGCAGAATTCCGGTAGGTGGCTGTGTGGTTTTAGCCTTTCCCCTGTCCCCAACTCATTTTCAGATCTGAAGGAGAGAAGACAGCTAACTTTGGTGTTTTGCATAGGTTGGCAGTGGAGGCCTGTCTCTACTCCCCCCACCTCCACCCCCAAGCTTAGGATCAAGACACCATGGCCTCCATTGTAAGTCCTAGTCCCAGGGAAGGTTCAGGTGGTGGGCTTGTCTGAGACTCTTCTAGAGTCTCTTCTTCTCGGCTCTGAGTTGATTCTCTCCAGCGTCTTTCCTTTCTCCATAAACCCACCGTCCTCACTTCTGTTGTCATAAGCACGTGGGTTTCTGTGTCACTTACCTGCCTTTCTGATCAGAATGTCACTTGCACAAGGTCACAAGCTCGGTCTATTCATTGCTGTAGTCCCCGTGCTTAGGTTAATACTTGGTCCAGAGTAAGTGCTTAATATTGTCAGGTATAAAATATTTAATTTTACTTGAGATTCTTTGCAAAACAAAGACTGGATCCTCCAGGGGCTATTCCTAAGTGATGAGAGACCAGCATCTATTACACAAATGGGATGTTTTGCACATAGGGTGTCAGGAACTCCACGAGGACTATTATGTTCAGCATGGGATATCTTTGCAAAACAAAGACTGGATCCTCCAGGGGCTATTCCTAAGTGATGAGACCAGCATCTATTACACAAATGGGATGTTTTGCACATAGGATGTCAGGAACTCCACGAGGACTATTATGTTCAGCATGGGATGTCTGTTTTGAGGGTGGGGAGGTAGGAAGACAGGCAGGGTTGCACTGTGTAGCCCAGCTGTCTTGGAACTTGAGAATGTCCTGCCTTAGCCTCCCTAGTGCTGGGATTGCCGGCATGCACCACCAGGCCCCACAGGGTGTCTGTTACCTACAGCATGGGCTGACCTGGTCCAACAGGACCCTTAAATGTTATTTCTGCAAAGGGTGCAATTTAAAGTGTCTCAAATACTATGAATAAATTTACCAAAGGATACACAAAATCTCCACAGAAAGTTATAAAATTTACCAAAGGATACAGGAATGAGAAAAATACAGATTGCCTGTGTATTGAAAAACTCAATATTGTTGTTCAATGTTATTCTAAATCATAGTGCAATTCCAACAGACTTTATAGTGAAACTAGAACTGGTTTTTAAAAGCATAAGGCAAGGCCAAGATACAGGACAAATTGCTCTACCCAATGCCACAGTACAGAGTTCTAGGAAACAGGCAAGTATGAGAGGAGCCCAGGGACAGACTGCTGGAGCAGGCAGCCTACCAAAGCAAGGATCAGATGATGCAGGGGTTTTTTTAATATGTATGAGTGTCTGCATATATATTATGTGCACCACGTGTATGCAGCACCCATAGAGGCCAGAAGAGGCTATCCGATCCCGACACTGGAATTATGTATGGTTGCCTGCTGCCATTTTGAGAGGTAGCAGGAAAATGTCAACACAACACTCAGGGCTGTTCTGCATTCTTGCAGGGCTTTGGGTGTGAAACCATTTGCCATGATCTGGTCTGGTACAGAGTTAAGATAGAGGAGACTTCGTACAAGGATCTATCAGAAGTGCTCAAAGTGACCTACTAGCAATGACCCAAACGCACCCCCAAATGGCCACTGTGGTGGATGGTATGGGGGCAGGGCCACCTGGTATAAGCAGCACTCTGATGGGGGAGGGAGAGCAGCAAGAAGCTACACTGGTGTGATTCCACCCAGAGTTCAGAAACAGGAAAACGGACAAGTTTGAAAGTGGTATGATTAGGTGGTAACACAGTGAACCACAGAATCATCACAAGAGCCTCTGTGATCTCCAGGAAGGGCAAAAGAACACAGAGGCTCTGCCCCTTGAAGACTTTTCATAACCTGCATGTGTCACACAGGGAGGCTTTAGCTTGGTTCTTACTAATATGTGAACCTGTTGTTGTAATATATATGAAATATATGAATGTCTGTTGTAATCATCTGCCATGTGTGATGCATTTTATAATAAAATTCTTTTAATGCCAACGGTGTGGCCTTTGCTGCAAACTCGGACCCAGCCAGTTGCCAAATACTTAAGTCTCCTTGAACCACAATCCTCCCCATTTGATGACAGTTCTCTCAACCAGACACTTCAATTTTCTGTGATGCCATGAGTGTCCAATTCCAAAGCACACCCTTCCCATCACAATGTCAGTGGTTGACACTATGGCCACTTGCTCATCCTGAGGGTTTCTCTGCTGCTGGGATATGGCCCAGCTCAGACCCATTCCATCCACTCAAGAACCGGCCCACACCCAAGCTGATCTTGGGAGCACAGTAATGTAGTTCGCTCTCAAAAACAAGCTTTGCCTCACACTTTCTCCAAAATTCCTGGTAACCACCAAGAGCCAAGTTTTGTAGTAGGCAGATTTTAATTATCTAATGATTGATTTGCCTTTGTATTTGGAATATATTAGAAAACTCTTATCAGCCAGAATCTTTCAAAAGGGTTAGAAAACCAGAAGGGAAATAAAAGTGAAGAGTTCCTTCAGGGGATCCAGTCTAGACAAATCCCAAAGACATGCTATCAAGAGCTTGCGAGCTGTGACATCTAAGGGGTATAAATATTCACAGCAAGCTTTTTACAACCAAGGGAACTGAATGAACATTCTTTGAAGACCTGCTCCTGTGTGGACAGAGACATGACTGAGAAAGGAGACAGGTGGCTCACCTGGGCCAGTCAAGTGCAGTAAGGGAAACTGGCCTCTACATCACCTTAGACTCATGCTAGGGAGAGGATCACAGGGGAAAGACACAAGACTGGGAACACCAAAGAGGAAAGATGTGTTAAGCAGCTGGGTGACACCCCAATAAAGGCTGTCATATCCAGCAAAGCTTGAAGTAAACACCAGATAGGAACACCTCACTGCGCATGACAAGGTTTGATTGCCTACCCTTGACTGGCTCAGTGGTTTAGAGCACTTGCTGCTTTTCACAGAACCCAGGTCAGGGAGATCCCAACTGCCTGTGCTCCCAGGGTATCTGATGTCCTCACAGGTAGCACACTAAAACTTCCAATCTTTGCTAGTCTTTAAGATGGCTATTCAAAGGCCATGCAAGGTGTACTGGCTCTGCAGTTATAAGGGTAGCTGCTAGATCTCACAGATGAGGTAGCTAGTGACAACCAGAGCAACTTCCATGTTTTAAGTTAGGCCCAGGGGAAGCTCAATCTTTACAATTTGGCCTGGGTAACATCTCCAGGATCTCTCTCCAGTGCTGCCTGGCATCCCTTCTGGGGCTGGCAACTGAAGACCAGGGTGAGTACTGGTCACACTGCAAACTCCCAGAAGCGCACAACAGAGGCAGACAGGTCCAGATGTGCTGCTACAGAACTGGTGATCTAATCCTTAACCTAGCCTAGAGCCACTGGCAAGGACTCTGCCTGGGAGGTGCCTGTCACATTTTGCTGATTCCCCAAAGACAATATGAACGTAAACCATCTTGATCCTTAAAACTTGGATCTGGCTGGTACACACCTTCGACCCCCAGCCCAGGCAAGCCTTCGAGCCAGCCTAGGGTATACATCAGGGACCCTGCCACAAAAAAACAAAGGTAAATCTAATCTATCCCATAGTCTTTCCAGAGGCACTAAGCATATTGTGAAACTGGTCAAAAGGATCTAGCAACATTTAAAACAGACCAATTGTAGTACTGCTTTATTTTACACAAAACTCTCCCAAAGCCCAGGAGCAATTTATAGTACCCACCAACACAAACTAAGACACAACAGAACCTTGGATGAGTAGCCCAGGACCTGTGCATGTGTGAGCATTTCCACCTATTTCCATCAGTTATCTATAATGCACAGTGCCTTAGACAGAGATCGCAGATACAAATTCCAAGTACTTAGTCTAGTAGGAAAAAAAACACCTCCTAGAGACACAGCTTTTAGAAACATTTTATTTTCCATCTACCTTCTTTCCATCCTGCTCAGGTGACTGCAGCACAGCTCACGACCACTCAGTGGTTGTTCCAACCCACTCAGTGGCCTGAGCAGTGGGGGCTGCAGACCAGTCCTCAGTGGCTGGCTGGGCACTCCAGTCTTCTGTCAGGAAAATACCAAAAAAGGCATCAGTCTGGGGACAGGTTGCTACCTACTGTCCCCACCTCAACAAAACCTGTCAGACACAGACTGCATCCTTTCAGATTCACAACACAAAGACCACGATCATCCCACAGGCATCCCCACTGAACTGCATGCAGCTGTCTGTGGCACACTAACACAGATAACACACTGCTGTGTTAGTTCACTCTCCAGACATCAAGGCGAGAGCAGAATTTTCACGTTCCCTGATGCCCTTGTCTTGGTACATACCAGTAGGGAACTGCTGGATAGGTACAGAGGGCACTTGCACGCCTTCAGACCAGTCTGCCACCTCTGGCTGAGCTGCAGTGAACTCAGGAGCCGGTGCAGTCCATTCACCCTGAAATTCCTCCTTGGTCACAGCCTTTTCAGCAGCAGCTTGCTCTTCTTTCTCAATCTGATAAAGGGGTGGGGGGAAGCTTGTAAGCAACCACACCAGGGTGTTCCATTCACTTAGTGGCCACATTCTGTAGAGAAAGCTTACCTCTTCAGGGTCTCTATAGAAGTAGAGATCAGGCATGACCTCCCATGGGTGCTCACGGGAAATGGTACCACGCATGCGCAGAACTTCCCGGGCCAGCATCCACCACATCAAACCCACTGAGTGAGCTCCCTACAAGAGTGAAGGTTATTCAACAGCATACCTGGCCAGTCCTGAAAAAAACCCAAGCCTGTCCCTATTCACCTTACCTGCCCCACATCCTTTGATCTTTGTTTCAAAATACCCTTAAACAATTCATTCTGAAGCACAAGCCCACTTTCAAAGGGTTCTCATCCCTGTGAACTTCTGCATGCATTTGTACTTGTAGCAAAGGTTACTATCAAACTCCACTCACAGGCCAGAGTAGAGTGTTAGCGAAAACTTGCCACTCATGTAGCACACTACCTACACTTGTGAGTTCATTGGCCAGTTTGTGACCTCAACTCCAAGCTCTAACAATGTGCACAGGAACAGGAAGTTTACAGCATTCATTAGACCAGAGTAGTACCTTATTGTTGCATGGGATGGCGATGTCTACATAGCGCAGAGGAGAATCTGTGTTACACAGAGCGATGGTAGGCAGGTTAACATAAGACGCTTCTGTGAGGGGCTGGTGGTCAGCCCTGGGGTCAGTCACCACCAGAAGACGTGGCTCCCTGAAGGCTGCTTGAATCTGGTTAGTGAAGGTCCCAGGAGTGAAGCGGCCAGCAATTGGAGTGGCTCCAGTGGCAGCAGCAAACTTCAGAACAGCTCGCTTTGAAGGAACAAATTTATCAAGTCAACATTTCAAAGATGGTTTCATAAAACAGTATGCTGACACCCACACTCTTGTCACATGATGCAACCTATCAAGTGCCCCCCTCAAACATAGAATGTTAACATCTTTAGTACACTCTTCTGGTTAACTGAAAAGCACTTATATGCCCCAATCTCATCACTTCGTCAGAGGAACCAGGCTCATTTCATGAGCTTTCTTAACTACCAAGAGGGTCACCAGTAACTTCTGTAAGTTTCTCACATGCCTCCAGAACATAGACTGGCACCTAACAAGCATCTCTGGTTTCTGGTCAAGCTTCATCACAGCTACCCAATGGAAAGCAATCACATACCAGCCTTACCCACCCTTTTCCTACTGTAGAGATTACTTTTTACATCCCTTCAAAAGACATGACCCTGTCTGCTATATCCAAGTAACCAAGCAGCACTGCCTCACCCAATCAATACATTTCTGCTGAAACAAACAATAGTGGGCCTTCAGCTCAGTCTGCAGCAATAGTTACCACCATCTCCCATCCTGTACCACACTCCAAGAAGCAGGTCCACTTTGGGGAAGCCATGAAACACATTCACCCATCAGCATTAGAAAAGGAAAATCTTGCTAGGGTAAATACTTTCTAGGACTCTCAAAAGCCAACCTATTTAACAAAATATCAGTTTTCTCATCAGAAATATTATCAAAATACAATGGGGGGAAAAAGATAGGCTTTATCCTAAGATTCATCTTGGCAGTCTTAAAAAGCCAGGGCTCAAAGGAAATCTGAGGTATTTTGTAATTGACATCAGTGAGAAAAACAAACTTTCTTCTCAAACACTAGCCCTAACCTACCCCAGAATGAGTGATCTAGGACTGTTTCCTGCATGGTTTGTCTCCTCAGTCATTGTCCATAGGACTCTGAGAAGCCATAGGAATATGCAGGCGCAGACTTGAAGCCCAGCTTCATCTCCAACGTCGTGGAAAAGGACTGTACATCATGGGGCAGAGCCTATGCTCCCCTATGCCACTAGGACAGAGCCCAGGGAGAGTAACCTCCCGGGGTATCCACGTTGCATTCTCCTCCTTTTCAATATATCCCCAAATGCCTGTTTTCCTGCATTTCCACAAAAGCAAGCCTTGTTCTACAAACCTGGCCAGTGTTCCGGGAGGAGATGACGCTGACATCAGCAGGGTTTTCAATGGCAACTATGGCACGAGCTGCCAATAGCAGCTTTTCCCAAGTCCTCTTCAGATTTATGATGTAGATACCTAGGTGAGAGTGAGTATTTTTGGAGAGGATTAGAACTGAACCAAGGCCTCAAGCAAGCTAGCAGATTCCAACACTTGAGATAAGTCCCCCAGATGGTTCTGCAACACTTGAGCTGGCATTCTTCTGGACAGTAAGGTGCATGTGGCAGCGATCACTACCAAACTCCAGTCATCGAGGCATGCTCTACTGGTGTTAGCGAAAATCCTGCAATTAATGTAGCACACTTCCGACACTCAGAAGTTCACTGGCCAAGGCTGGCCTCCACCCTGAGCTTTAATAATGTGCAACCTCAATTCCACCTTCTCCAAATTCTTACCTACCTCCTGGCCTCTTGCCACTCTTCCTTATAGCTAGAGACCAGATCCATCCTACAGCTGGTTTACAGCAAGATTCGAAGGCTTTAAACAGTCTCCCATCTCCAAATCAAGTGACTGCTTCTAAGCTGAAGTGCCTCATTAACTTAATGCCTTCCACTCTTGGCACAACCCATCCTGCCAATCTAAAGTCTTATCCTACTTTCCAATAAACCCCCATCTATGATACCTACAACACAGAATACCTCCTAGGAAGTACTACAAAGTTACCCTATGTCTTCCACATCCTTCATAACCCTACACGTCCCACAACCTAACAACTCTGATGTTCTTCCACCAGGGCCTAGACATCAAAACCCACCAGAAGTGCAAAGTTGTACTTACAGCTAAAAGAACAAAAGAGCAAAGCAGTAACTGACCATCACTTTTCCTCTTGTAGATGTACTGTTCCATCTGGAAGTCAAGGTTGGTGCCACCCAAGTGGGTTCCTGCTGCAAGGAATTTGAGGACATCCTCTTCCTTCATTTGCAGGACATCAAGGGCTCCGGACATTGTGTTAAGTTTCCCTTTAAGTTACGACGGGAATCTGGGAAAGCAAGAGTTTGTCTAGTTATTTCCACTGCAATGAGTTTAGCAGAGACGTGGACTCTTGCTCCTCCACCGACTTCACCTCTCCGTCAGTATCAGCCACTCGGTTTTCAAGGTGGGAATTGGTTAAGATAGTGTACTTTGGCAGGTAGATACCTTGTGCTACAGAACTCTATCAAATCCTCCAGAGTAATCCCAGCACTCGGGAGGCAGGTAGATCTCTGTGAGATCAAGGCCAACCTGGGCTACAGGGAGACCATGGCTTTAAAAAAGCAAGAAAAACCACAAAACCTCCACGGGGGAAAGCAGGGTGGACAGTAAGTAGTGAACACAAAAAACTGTTATAGCGCTTCTTCAGGAGCACAGGACTCAAGTTATGAGCACAGGTAAGAGTTCTGCAAGGGAAGCCATGTTTGAGCACACTGGCAGCTCTGCGATCGGCTCTCTGAGCACTCTCTAGTACTTCCCCAACACCTCGCTCAAAACCTAACTCCAGAACAGGCTTAGCTAAACACAAGGAACTGTAGCGCCGGGAGGGCCGGCCGCGCGCTCTGCACCCGCCCGCGCCCCACTGCAGCGCGGCCTTAGTCCGACCGGGCCCTCAGGGAGCCTGGGGCCCGGAGCCACCACGTGGTGCCCCCGGCAGGGAAACGGCGCCGAGCGCGGAGCAAACCGGCCCCGGGCACACCGTGTCCGCCCAGGGGCCGGGAAGCGCAATCCCGCGCTGTCGGGAAGGGCTGTGGACCCCATGGGACACTCACCAAGAACAAAGCCGTATGGACCCCTCCCTGAGCAGCGCGCAAAGGACCGGCGGCCGGAAATGACGTACTATATACCGCTGCGACAGCCAATGGCAAAGAAGGCCGAACGGAAGGAGGGCGGAGCCAGGGGAGGTACTATGCCCTGCCGCGCTTTCCTTCCGGAGGGCGGCCTCCGGCGCATGCGCAGACCCGGGGAACAAGGGGTGCTGTGCCAGGAGCGGAAGATGGCCAGAAGCAATCTGAAGTCGCTACGTTGTCGAGCGGTGGCGGGTGTGTCCCGCACCGTCATTCCTGTGGAAGACGCTTGCAGGAATCTGGCCAGGGGGTGGGAGAGTTGTAACCCCACCGCTCGTAAACTTGTTTTAGTTGTAGGAAGCTTTGTTGCAATCAAGCCTCTGTTCAGCAAACACCCTGGAGGACTGCCACGTGGTCTTTGGGAGGACGATTTACCCATGCGCAATTTAGTGGGTGGGAGATGTTTTTTGGTAGAAGAAAGAACTGCAGCTAATTAATAAAAGTTCACGCTATCCAATAAAATACTGTGCAGCATTTTAAGGTGAAATGTCCCGTAGTACAGATTGAGGGCAATTAAGAGAAAAAAAAGTTGTATGACACGGGTGCACTTATACACACATGCAGGCAATAAACTCATGCACATAAAATTTAAAAATAGTGAAGTAATAAAATACTGTTTTAAAAAAGCCAGGCGTGGTGGCGCATGCCTTTAATCCCAGCACTCAGGAGGCAGGCGGATCTCTGAGTTCAAGGCCAGCCTGGTCTACATAAGTGGGTTCCAGGCCAGCTCCATTACACGGAGAGGCTGTCTCGAAAAGAGCAAGAAAAGAAAGAAAAAAAAGAAAAAAAAAAAAAGTAGGACGA